ATGTTTTATTTCATTAAATATAACGTCTCAGCCATAGAAATAGTTTAAATAAAAAAATTTTCTTCATAATCAAGAAGGAGTTTTGACTATTGTAACGTTTAAATTTTATAAAATAAAAATAAATTAATATAAATTTACTAAAATTTCCTTTCATAAAATTTGTAAAACATTAAGAGTTTATTTGAATTTAAAATACAAATATTAGAAGAAATAAAATAGAGAGAGAGTTTGTGTCTCTTTCATTCTAACATTTTAAATGAACATCACAATAACAAAAATGAAACGGTTTGCAGGGAACTGCACTGCTTATTTTATTTTAAATTTGATGAAATAACATTATATGATTGCTTAAGAAAAAAAGTTAAGTAAATATATATATATATATTTAAATTAGAATATATATTGACAGAAAAAGGGGAATATGAAACTCAGCATTGCTTATACACAACTGGCCATTAAAATTGCTTACACCAGGCAGAAATGCAGATAACAAAATGATATTTATTGGACAAATATAATTTACTAGCAATAAGAAGTCATTAAATTTTTAAGAAATTTGAGAGAATAGATCCTGGCAGTAATAACAGCACTTTAATGGCTATGTATTGAGTCAAACAGTGATTGGATGGCATGCACAAGTACAGTTGCCCATGCAGGTTCAACACGATGCCAGAACTCATCAACCATAGTGACTGGCATATGGTGTTGCAAACGTCATGCCAACCACCCCAATTCTTGATTCAGAGTTCATGACGTGGCTGCACGAACCATTAAGGCCATATGGATAACATGCCTGTCTTCTCAGCTGCTATTGATAGGGAGTTTCTGAAATCCATCACGGCACTTCGTATGACCATCCTGAACCAATCAATTCCATATTCTGCTAACAATCAAATGTATCTCATAGGACTCAAGCAGCAATACCGCAATACGATAAATCACAATAACTGTATGCTACAATTCGACCTTGATCAAAGTTAGAAACGTGCTGGTACGCATTTCTGCTCTTGAACGAGGCATCACAACTTTTCATTAGGCAACAAAGTTCAAATACAATTTGTGTATGAGAAACTGGCTGAACAATTTCCTCATTTAAACATGGTTGTCGCTACCGGCGCCTGCTTTGTCTGAATGTGTTGTAAAGCTAATCATTTGCATATCACAGTATCATTTGCATATCTTCCGTTGTAAGAATGTCACGTCTGTGGCATGTCGCCTTCTAGGTGTAGCAATTTTAATGGACAGTAGTGTACATCACTGTACATACCTGTTCAGTGTAAGAGTATATCAATACAAAAATAGTTAAGGGAAAAAATGTACTAATATTTTAAATACTAATTCAAATAAGTTTTAACATAAAATTTTGTGTAGGTACACTTTGAGGTGCCTTTTTATGGGAAATATATTCTTTATGAAAGCAATGTAACTATTAAAGAATTTTAACAAATAATATTTTACTTCATTCTCTTGAAGGACAGAAATTTGGAAAAATATTTTATGTCCTGAAATCTGGCTAAAATACTTAATACTTCCTCTTTTTTATCCCACCAATAGTTTAACGAAAATATCACGGTAATGTTCATAATAACTCCCCAGCCGCACATTATCTTTCATTTTAATTTATTATATTTTGTTAAGTTATGTGCTATGAAAATAGTGTAGACATTACCGTGTTTCAGACTGAAGAAGGCGAAAGAAAAGTTCAATTTATGAGGATATGTACCTATTAAATTATTGCTGAAGTTTCCTATATTACTCGAATGTTCGGAATAACTTGAAATATTTAGTTGAAAATTTACAGCAGAATAGATATTTACACTGTCTAGCTTCTGTCTCAATCATGTACCACGTGATCACATTACCTAAGCCCTGATTTGTTGTAAGTCACAGATTAGTTTTAGAAGAATATATACAAATGTGAGTAATTGAGTAGCTTGTATAGCTCAGAGAAAAATATGAGTTTTTTGTAAGGATTGTATTGAAATGAATATTATAGTTTAAAGTTCAATTCCCTACTTGGTGTGTTGAACTATTTTAAATTTGAAATAGGGTCATTAATTAGAGATAGGAACAGTGTTTTTTAATTTCAAATAATAGGAATCATTAATATTTGTAATTTTCGTAATTTTAATGCAATGTTTTACATAAAATTGAAAGATAGTGGTTCAGGTAAAATTTCTGAAAATTAATGTTGAATAACTGCATACAAATTTTTTGAGTTAAAAATTGTATTTTATTACTAGAAACCTGTAAAATGTTTTCATCCTTTTAATTATTTAATATTTATTGTCATTAGTTGGTGTGTCACTTTTTAAACTCGATGTTAATCTAACATTACAGAAAGGAATTCCAGAAGTTTTCCAAATGGTTGGTTATTGAAAGAAGACTGAAGCCTCCAGGAAATTATTTATAAATACCATTGTATCCAATGACTATTACACTAAAGCAAAATTTGCATGCTATTTCATTTGAAACAAAACAAGCAAAATTATGAAAGTAAAACAAAGGATGATATTAAAAACATATTAAACATAAATATTTTTCGTATCATTTCTAGAAATGATATAAATTCACAGAAATTCATAATTTTTTAACTACGTTTGTACCTGTTTTTAGAAGAGCTTATAAATTTTTAAATTATGTATATATATATTTTTATTTAAGGTATCCGACTACGTTCAGAACCATGATTTTAAAAAAGCGCATAAATATAAAATTTTCATGATATTTAGTGTCACTTAGATTAGAATACATATATAAAATTGTTTTAAAGACATTATGACAAAAAATTATTTAAATACAATATTTTGGCAAAAAATTAACTTAGAATAACCTTTTTTCCAAATGTTCTCCTTTTGTAAAAAATGCTTCTATTGTATTAATATTTTGCCTGTATATAGCACAGACCTCTATTCAGAGGCTCAACTGTGATTTTTGAAAAATTCACATTATTTTCAGAGTTACAACCATTTGAAATAATTATCGGCGTATTTTCTTAAAATTTCTCCTTTCTGTTTTCTTAAAACGTGGAAAAACCGACTTCCAAGTTATGCGTTTCAAAAATTCTAGTTGAGCCTCTGTACAGAGATCTGAGCTATAGACAGGCAAAATAATAATACAATAGAAGCATTTTTTACAAAAGGAGAACATTTGGAAAAAAGGTTATTCTAAATTAATTTTTGTCAAAATATTGTACGGAAATAATTTTTTATTGTAATATTATTCTTAACCCAATTTTATATACATTGTCTAATCTGTTATGCTAAAAATCATAAATATTATCCATTTACACGCTTTTGCAAAATCACGGTTCCGAACGTAGTCAGATACCTTAAATGCATGACATTTTATTTATTTGGGAACTATTGATTTCATTCAGTTATTGTTTTCTAAAAGTATAGTTACTCATGAGGAAAACATTAAATTACCTTAGAAAAAACTTAATTAACTCAACTCTAATGCCGTTATTTTTTAAAATAACATACTATAATATGCTTTCTAATCATAATAAAAGGAAAGCATATAACAAATAATTATTAAAATTATTTTGTATTCAGATATCTAATAATTCTAGTAATTGTTCTGTATTCTAATTATTGGAATTCCTTGTATTACCTGATAAATATTGTACAAATTTTTTGCATGAAACACATTCATTAAGGGAAATGGAGAATTTCATGAACTTTAGCCCAAACTTTCTACGAGATATTTTAGTTTTGTGCAATTAAGAAAATTAGAGTGTATTCTTAACATTTAAAACTTCTTGCCCGAGTTACGAGCAAATTAGCCTCACGTTTTATTAAAGTGTAGTTTTAATTAAAATTCTGGAAATTGTGTAAGTGCTCTTTAGCTGTTTGTGTTAAACTCTGTTTTTAAGGTTGATAATAACTTCCATTATAATGCAAAGCATGTGGGGAAAATAAATATGCGTAGATCAGTTTTAAAATACCAAATTACCAAAACAGAATTTTTATATATATAATTTACCTAACACTATACACATTCAATAATGACAATAAAATATATCAACAGGGAACCGAAGTCCGATGAATCTGTAATTTTTTTCTAAAGGTATATGGTATATAAATTTTTTTTCGATGAAAAACGTTTATATGTAATATTTCAAGTTAGCATCGAGAACTTTTGTAAAATACTATTTTTTTCATCGAGCTCAACTGACACACCTTTTGCCAAGAAAAAACGAACAACAAATGACCAGATTGTATTTTGATCATACTAAATGGGTTGTATACTTATTTCCAAAATTGCTAAATAACACTTTTTAGATAATGTTTTCAATTTGAAAGTAAAGCGCGGAATCGTAAGTATGAAGTCTAAAAAATTTAATGAGCTGGGATCAGAATTGTTATGTCAAGAATATATTTTCTGAGAAAGTAATTTGGTGTTTAATTTATGAATCGACTCTGTTATGGAAAATTAAAGTTAAATGGTAAATAGGTTATTTTGTTTTAGATTTAATTTAATAATTTAATTATATATATATATATATGTGTGTGTGTGTAACAAATTTTATATGGAATATCATGCAATATGTAACTGGCATTACTAAATTATTTAAAATTCATTTGTTAAGGTGAATAAAAATTAAGCAAATTTTTAGACATAAATAGAAGTTACAAATATCAATATAAATATTTTATTTTGTAAGAAAATTACAAGCTTTGTTTTTGGCTATTTTAACAAGTAAGATATATATTTATATATAATTTAAGTCAATTCCTACTTACTTCAACAAAGAAAAATTTTATTTTCGTTACTTTTTATCAAATAATTATAATTAATATAATATGTATATGCATATTATAGAATCGCAATATCAAGTGGCAAAATAGAAATCGATTTTCTTTGCAATTTCTATTTTTCTTTCTGTGTATGGTGCTGGACTATTATTTTTGCTTGTTAGTATTTATTCATTAATTAAATTTAATTATTCTAATGAAATAGTATAGCAAAAAGAAATCCCATCCTTAGAAATTAGCTATACCTGTTGGGACTCGAAACCACAATCTTTGGATTAGAAATCCAACGCACTATCCAATGTGCTACAGGGGCACAACGAGCACTTTTCTTTTTCATATACGGTGTTGAACTATTATTTTTACTTGTTACTATTTATTCATTAATTATATAAATTCATTGAATTAATACTCTTGAAAAAAACTGTATGAACATCATGTGTCATCCACTGCAAGTTTAAAAAAATGCATTTAAACTTAAATTGAAGAATAAAAAGTATTTTATTAACGATTGAAAATTTGAACAAGATAGGGGAGAGTGTGAACTAATAACAGAATTGAAAAATACCTTGGATTTTTAAAGAAATAAACTGGTATAAAATGTGTTAAGGAATTAAAATAGATATTTTAGTGGATAGGGTGGCATTAAATTAGTTTTCAAGATTATTACGTTAAGCAAAATTACAAAGATAAGCGCCAGTTTGTAAATAACAGAATGATAATTAAAAATAATAATGAGGTGATAGAGATTTCGAATAAATTGGTTCTGAAATTGGTGAATTGGCCTAATAAGGAAAATATGTACTTTAAGTTCTATCCACATTATTTATAATATTGAGTTATATTATTTTTTCGTATACAGAAGTGCCACTCGAAGGAACAGTTTCTTTTTTTAACATACTTAAAAAAAGTAAAATTAGTAAAATAGTCTAAAAACGTACGACTGAATTAAAATAAGACTAAACGGTTTTGAAAACATTCAACTGATGCTTCAATCAATATTGTTGAGAAAAATACATCTGATGCGAATAAAGATTTTTAATTACTGTAGAATAATGAATTTAAAAAAAAATTGTAAATTAAATCGAGATTACTTTGTATTAATGCAAAATATGTGAGCTCTTTAAACACAAAAACTTTTGTTTACAATAGACTTATACAAGATGCAGCATGCAGGGCTTACGCATCAAATGATTTAATATTACAAAAAGAGAGAAAGAACTTTAATTTAGATAATTTTATTAAGAAGTACATCAATGGCTCCTTTAAATTGAAAAGTACAGTGAGAAATTTATCTCATTTTTGCTATTTCATTTCTTTTTTGTATGTCCTATTTTGATATAATATCTGTTTCATTTCTTACACGAACCAATTTTCAAATTTCAAAGTTTGTATCATTAAAATGACAAGAGGATTTCTTCTTTTATCTTACAAGCGGAGGGTACGACTAAGTAAATTCATTTGGGATCGACACTTGGTGTAATAGTAGTATTCCTTTAGGAGTTCAACCCTTAGAGAAATTCCTCCGAATGGCCAGTCAATTCAGAGAAATTAGCCTTCGAAATTCCTGCTTAGATTTTATACAATTAAATTTAATTTTCCGCAACGAGTTCGTAGCTTGATTTGTAAATTGTCTGCTTATTATACGCGAAGTCTTTCTTCAATTCATTTAATTATTTTTTTAAAATTAAAATAATTTATTTAGGAAAGTTTTATTAAATATTAAATGATATTTTTTGTAATTATTTTGTATTTTATAAAGAAAAAAATTAAAAATATAAATCTTAAATTATTTATTAGTAAAATTATTTAAAATTATTAATTAAAAATAAATAAAATAATTATTAATAAAAACTATTTATAATTAAAATTAGGAAATTAATTATTATTCAGTAAAATTAACTGATTAATTACTATTTATTATAGTTAATTAATTATTACTATTCATTATAATCAATTAATTAATTACTATTCATTATAATCAATTAATTAATTACTATTCATTATAATCAATTAATTATTATTAAGCATTAGTATTAATTAAAAATATTACTTATTTATTAGTAAAATTATTATTCATTTATAATTAAAATTATAAAAAATTTATTATTAAAATAATTAAAAATTTATTTTTAAAATTATTAAAAATTTATTATTAAAATTATTAATAATTTATTAAAAATTTATTATTAAAATTAGTATTAATTTATTATTAAAATTAGTATTAATTTATTATTAAAAGTATTGTTTATTGAAATTATTATTAATTTATTATAGGAATTATTTAAATAAATTTATTAAAATTATGATTTATTATTGAAATTATTATTAATTTATTATAGGAATTATTTAAATAAATTTATTAAAATTATTTAAATAAACTTTTTGAAATTAAATAAATTTATTTGAAAAGGATTTAATAAATATTTTATAAAATTATAATTAATTAAATTAATAATACATAAAAGATACACACACACATATTTTTATTATATTAATTATAAAATAATTAATTTAATAATAATAATATATTTTATAAATTATTTTATATTATATATAATATTTTATTTATAATATATTGTATTTCACCTTATAAAACTATTTGTAACTAATTTTTTTGTAAAATATCATTTAATATTTATTATATTTTTTATTATAAATATTATTTATTAATATAAAAAATATTTCTATAAAATTTAATATAATTATTTATATAATTACAGTAATTTTTTACTTTATAAAATGCAAAATATTTACAAAAGATATCATTTAATATTTAATAAGCCTTTCATAAATAAATTTATTTAATTTTAAAAAGATAATTAAATGAATTGAAGAAAAGAAGTTGATGGCGTGGAATCGATCGAACCCGGACTTCGCACATAGTATGCAAACAATTTATCAATTAGGCTATGAACTTGTTGCGGAAAACTAAAATTTAATTGTATAAAAGCTAAGCATGAATTTCGAAGCCTGATTTCTCCGAATTGACTGGTCATTCGGCGGAGTTACATTGAGGGTTGAACACCCTAAAGGAGTACTAATATTACAACAAGTCTCGTTCGCAAATGAATTTCCTTAGTCCTGCCCTCTCTTTATTAGATAACTATGATGATCTTCAAGGCCTTTTTGGTAATAAATTAATAATTAGAATGGAATTCTTGAAATCGAAGTATCACCGTGTATTGTTGTAGATTTTTAATCAATTTATTTTTGAATACAAGCAATTTAAGTAAATATATTGTTTTACTATTTTGCTAACAATTATAATAATTTAATAGACTAAAAAATTATATAAAAAATTTATAATAATTTTCAGTCTAAAATGAGTAGCTATTCAATAAACAAGATGTATTTTTAGTTTACTTTTCAAGATCATGGTTTCGAAAATGTATTTCCTGAAACAAGAAATCTTTTAAATTTTTCATTCTGGAATTTATCTTTCCATCTTGCATTACGAATAAATTCATATATTTACGCCATATTTCATAACTTCTTAGCACAATTTCAGAAACTCGGATTCAATTCAGTTAGCGTTTCTTTTATATACAAGTCTGGCTAGAAATGAAATTACCTAATTTAAATTCAAAATTGAATCAAATTAAATATTTTAAGTTCTCAATTAATTATCTTAAGTATTCCGAAATTCTCAATCTAGATTTGTTTTGGGCCGCAATATGGCACTGCACTAAAAAGAGGTACTAAAAAGAGGTAGATTGATGAACTCTGTAATAACTGTTCATAATCTACCATTAGAAATAAAACAAAAATTGGCTTTGGGAAATGATTTAAGGTATCCCACTGCGTTCGGAACCTTGATTTAAAAAACAGCGTATAAACCGATAGTTTTCATGATATTTAATGTCTCTTGGATTAGGATACATGCATCAAATTATTTTAAGAATATTTTAGAATGATAAAATATTTAAATGCAATATTTGGAAAAAAAAAATGAACTTAAATTTACATATTTTCAAAATATTCTCCTTCGATGAAAAATGCCTCTGTAATAATGATAGTTTGCTTATGTAAAGAAAAGATTTTTCCAGAGGGCCTGAACTAGGATTTCTTAAAAACTGACATTATTTTCAGAGTTACTACCAATTGAAATACTTAACGTTTTTTGTTTTTTTTTTTAACATTTCTCCACTCTGTTGTATTAAAATATGGATAAATCCACTTCTAAGTTATATATTTTAAAAATCCTAGTTCAGGCTCTGTACAGAGGTTTGACTTATATGTAAGCAAAAATGTTATTATTATCGAAGCCTTTTTCCATGAAAGGAGAATGTTTTGAAAATAGGCTACTCTATGTTCATTTTTTGACAAAATATTTCATTTACATAATATTTACTGTAATAATATTCTTAAGGTATCCAACTACGTTCGGAACCAGTGATTTTGCAAAAGCGTATAAATGGATAATATTTGATATTAGTGCCACTTAGATTAGAAAATGTATATAAAATTGATTTAAGAATTGTATTACAATAAAATTACAATATTTTGACAAAAAATGAACATAGAATGACCCATTTTCATAATATTCTACTTTTGTGAAAAATGCTTTTATTATAATAATATTTTGTCTGTATGTAGCTCAGACCTCTGTACAGAAGCTCAACTAGAATTTTTGAAATATATACCTTAGAAGTGTTTTTATCCATGTTTTACGACAACAGAGGGGAGAAATTTTAAAAAAACACCGATAATTATTTCAATTGGTGGTAACTCTGAAAATATTGAGAATTTTTCAAAAAAGATTCAGACTCTCTGGAGAGTCTTTACTTCATATAAGCAAAATATTTTTTATTGTTGAAGCATTTTATATAAAAGGAGAACATTTTGAAAAAAGGTTATTCTAATTTAATTTTTTGCCAAAATATTGTATTTAAATAATTTTTTTTGTCAAAATACCCTTATAAAACAATTTTATATATGTATTCTAATCTAAGTGACACTAAATATCATGAAAATTATCCATTTATGCGCTTTTTTAAAATCACTGTTCCGATCGTAGTCGGATACCTTAAAACAATTTTAATACATGTATTCTCTCTCTTTAATCTAAGTGACACCAAATATCATAAAATCATCCACTTATAGGGTTTTACAAAATAAGAGTTCCGAACGTAGTCGGATACCTTAAAAATGTTCCTGATGTAAAAACATTTATCAAAATATTTTTGAAATCAATGGTCTTAAACAATGAGTTTTCAATTAATCTATGATTTCAAATACTTAAATGAGATTAATACTTAATTAATGGTTATAATTATATTTAAGTATCTCATCCAATCTGTTCTTTTTTACTTTAC